CGCTGACCGCAACCTGCCGCGGGTCCTGGCCGCTGGCTCGGGAACACCCAACCGTCCCAGCGCCGGACCCCGGTCGCCGCCCCTACAGTGCTTCCAACGGAGGGAGAAGGGAGAGGTTCCCGGCTCCTAGTGCTGGTGTGCGAGCCCTAGACTCTCCTCGGTCTCTATTGGAGTCCGTCGTGTGTCCAAGTGGCTCTAATTTGGGAAAGCTGTTTCGGGGTCTTTGTCCACTTCTCTTTTTAAAGTATCGTGATCACTATTAAGGTCCTCTGTTGCAATCACTGATTCGTGCATTTCTGCCAGAAATTACTTTGAGGTAGAAAACAGGACTCGGGAAAAAATGTTTTCCCTTAAAGTATGAGTCTGTCGGCCGTACATGGTGTCACAACCAGGCAAAATTAGGAATAGTCTAAATGCAGTATTACAAATATTTAAAGCAATTTTGTACATTAGCTGTGGGCTTTGATGGGAATGCTAAATTTAATGAACTGATACCCATAAAAAAAATAGTAGGAATGATATTAAGGTAACATGTAAATTTCCAGTTTAGTAATGTACTTTTCAGTTTTAAAGTACTTGCGTAAACATCCTATCATTTGTTCCCTACAGCAATCTAGTGTGGGAGGTGGAGCAAGTAGTAATTTTATTTTACTGTTAAAGAAACAGACTCAAATGATTGCCCAATTCATTCTTTAATCCAATAAAAACTTTAATGCATGCCAAATGTATTTACCAGATGAGATCTGGGTACTTTATTTTTTTAAAATTTAAACCAGCAGAATCCTGTATAAGTGTTATTTTGCCCCAGTCTTGACAGGAAGAGGATAATGTTTTTGAAAAACACATTGCCTCATGTGCTTTATTAGGTGAAAGCAAAATTTAGGACTATGCATTAGGAAGACATATCTATTACTAAATGATAAATCATTCTATCAGAACTCTGGTTAAAATCAGTCAGTCAGTATATTTACTGAATGACTATCAAGTGGAGAGTACAGTATCTGTAAGTAAGAAAGATGTTAGACAAACAATTATGTCCTCAAGTGGCTTATGATGGGGTCTCTGGTAATCGTATAAATAGAAACATTAAAATCAGTATAATAAACATCAAATCCCAGTGTTCTGCCTGTGACAATTATCTATTTGATTCTAAATTCGCCTAAAAAAGTGAGTGGAAGTTCCATTATTGTATTTTAAAAGAAAACATGACTTCATTTTAGTATTTTCATTAAATTACTAAACAGAGATAATATAAAGAACCAAACAGGTATAGAAAAGGTTTACTCAATATAGAAGGTTGAAGAGGAGGTCACCTCCTGTAACTTGGAAATTAGACTACTTCAAGCGTTAAAACTACCAAAAACAAATAATTGTTAAGATTATTCAGGGACTTTTACATATATTTTTAGTATGAAGATGAAGGTACAATTTCTTGGTGGACCTCTCTAAAACAGTTGTAAATAATAAAGGTGAAAAAATGGTCTGCTTGGAGTCTAGAAAATTTTGTGAGAGCAACAGCTTGGCAAGCACTGTAGGGTAGATTTGAGTAATCTCTAGAAAGGGTTTACTCTCAGGCTTCACTAGCGCCTGGATTAAGTAACTCTGTAGACTTTTGTGTGTTGTACATCTGTTTTGAACAAGCAACTTCCCAATTGATAAGTCCAATTAATATTTAAGCCTTCAGGGCTCCTGGATATAGGAAAGGGATGCCCTAGATTATAGACAGAAGCCAAATCACTGCAAGGGTATACAGTTATCTGAGATTAACAAATACTTTGTGAAGAAACTGGTCTTTGCGAATTCTATGCAGCTGTGGTTCTTGACATTTAGTGGATACCGTTATATTTTAGGGTGGTACAGTTGTGTGTGTGCAAAGGAGCTAGAAACATCAGTTTCTTAGACGTGCGCGAAAGGAGCCAGAACTGGCTTCCCGCTTCTCCTACCGAACCGTCTTACGAGTCCCAGAGAGCAGCTCCGCCACGCGTGTCGGCCACCGGAGCAGTGCCTTCTGGGAGCTGGAGTTACCCAACGGCCGCGGCGCTCGCTGACCGCAACCTGCCGCGGGTCCTGGCCGCTGGCTCGGGAACACCCAACCGTCCCAGCGCCGGACCCCGGTCGCCGCCCCTACAGTGCTTCCAACGGAGGGAGAAGGGAGAGGTTCCCGGCTCCTAGTGCTGGTGTGCGAGCCCTGGACTCTCCTCGGTCTCTATTGGAGTCCGTCGTGTGTCCAAGTGGCTCTAATTTGGGAAAGCTGTTTCGGGGTCTTTGTCCACTTCTCTTTTTAAAGTATCGTGATCACTATTAAGGTCCTCTGTTGCAATCACTGATTCGTGCATTTCTGCCAGAAATTACTTTGAGGTAGAAAACAGGACTCGGGAAAAAATGTTTTCCCTTAAAGTATGAGTCTGTCGGCCGTACATGGTGTCACAACCAGGCAAAATTAGGAATAGTCTAAATGCAGTATTACAAATATTTAAAGCAATTTTGTACATTAGCTGTGGGCTTTGATGGGAATGCTAAATTTAATGAACTGATACCCATAAAAAAAATAGTAGGAATGATATTAAGGTAACATGTAAATTTCCAGTTTAGTAATGTACTTTTCAGTTTTAAAGTACTTGGGTAAACATCCTATCATTTGTTCCCTACAGCAATCTAGTGTGGGAGGTGGAGCAAGTAGTAATTTTATTTTACTGTTAAAGAAACAGACTCAAATGATTGCCCAATTCATTCTTTAATCCAATAAAAACTTTAATGCATGCCAAATGTATTTACCAGATGAGATCTGGGTACTTTATTTTTTTAAAATTTAAACCAGCAGAATCCTGTATAAGTGTTATTTTGCCCCAGTCTTGACAGGAAGAGGATAATGTTTTTGAAAAACACATTGCCTCATGTGCTTTATTAGGTGAAAGCAAAATTTAGGACTATGCATTAGGAAGACATATCTATTACTAAATGATAAATCATTCTATCAGAACTCTGGTTAAAATCAGTCAGT